AACGGCTGGCATCCATCGCCTCGCGTCCGGGACCGAGCCAACTCCTGCACAAATAAACAATGGGAATAAACATTGTGACGGAAAACGTATAAATTGCACGGGGAAACGTTTAAAGTGGACAAGGATACACCCGTATGCGTTCTCGTTGGAAATTGTAGCGAAGTTCACGCTTATTCCACACGCAGCTTTATGTATTTTTTTTAGTATTACGCTTTTATAGACTTTCATAACAAATATTTATATACCAGATAACTGTTTTTATTGGACGCAAAATTGAAGAAGGATCTGTTTTTTTAAAGAAATTTCAGAGACTAGGTTTTACGTGCGAACTCGGAACTTTGTTGAACAAGGTATATCGACAAGTAAACCTACACAACTGGGGACACACCGATTTTGATGAGTGTTGAATATGTTGTTTTTCAGCTCAAAATAAGGGACACATATTTTTTTATACGTGCCCATACGCACTTTTAGGTAGTGAAATATTCCTTTGAAGAAAATTTGATTTTCTCTTTCGGGGCGAATATTGACGAAAGTGTAAGAGCTACAGTATTTTTTTTTAAATGAAAGTGGAGTGGTTTCAAATTAAAATTATAAGCAAACAAGATTTTTAATTTTTTCTTTTTCAAAATACTGACATTTACCCACCACTCAACATTTTTATGACAATTTTGAACTTTATTATATACGATTGAATTCGTAATACAATAAGTTTTAATTTGGTGCTAAAAAATTTTCAAAATTATAATAAAAAATGTTGAGTGGTGGGGATATTTTGAGAGAAAAAAATTAAAAACTTTTTGCTCATAGTTTTAAAGTACTATTGAAACTATAAAAAAAATTCCAGCTCTTACCCTCGTCAATATTTGCCCCGAAAGAGAAAATCAAATTTTTTTCAAAGGGCCGTATTTCACCAAAAGTGCGTATGGGCACGTAGAGAAAAATACATGTCCCTTATTTTGCGCTGAAAAACAACATATTCAACACTCATAAAAATCGGTGCGTCCCCACTTGGGTAGGTTTACTTGTTAGATAGCCCCATTCCGTCCTCATTGAGCACGTAACGTGAAACAAGATTTTTTGTCCAATTCGGTAGTAAACGGAAAAACTGGTTCCCGTTGTGCTCGCTTCGACACGTTTGAAATTGCGTGCGAATTATTAATAATTCGTAAATGTCAGTGCGATAAGAATTAACCATATAATATAATAATTAACTGTAATAATTAACTACGATACATTATTTGTTAAATAACGCGTAATAATACGATGTAAAAATAATCCGACTTTTCCAGCAGGGTGGCTCGCGAAATGTGTTTTCCACTTTATTAAATATTGAATTTCATTTGTTTAACATCTCGTTAAATGTGTCACAGACATTTACGTGACATAAATGTGATTGTCGTAATGTAGACACGAATGACATTCAAAGTAAGCTCTTTGACTCCGAGTGAACTCGACGTAATCAGCGATCTTGTTGATATACGGCCGCCGTTGCTCCGGTATTCGCGGGCCGTTCTGTGTGGATGCAAAGTTCCGGATGCTTGGGATTTAATATTTTCATGGAACTCATTTGAGACGCTTGGCGCTCCAGTTTCCGCTTTTACTGCGCCGTAAGTACGGGCGCCTCGAACGAACTTGGCGAGTAGGCCGTAACAACATAATGTGGTCTAATAACGCGACAGTTTGATAAGAGTTTCGGGTTGAAAGGCCGTTTCAACGAGCACGTTCCGCGCCGCGGTCTCGCAGCAGCTATCCTTCACGCGCAATCAGAAGTAACTTGGTCGGTTTAATTTAGAAACGTTATGACTTCCAAGAGTAGATTGTGTCGCAATAACTCCTTGCTCTTAAGGCAGCTTTTGTCGAGAGATTTTAAAGACCGGATAATTAAAAGTACGAAGAAGCCCATTACGAGGCGAAATTCCGCTCCAAGTTGATCTACAATTGGCGCGATTCACTCGAGACATTCCCCCCTCTCCCCCCCCTCTCTCTCGTGTTAGATCAGACGCTCGTGTTATGTCTCGTCTGTGGATCACATTCGTAGGCTCGGCATCGCGACGCGCGCGTATGCCCTGCATCCTCTCGAGGCGCTCTCGCGAGATCGTGATAATTACGCGACAAGGAGCGGAAGTGCGATCGTACCGATGCGCGAGATGTAACTCGACGCCGATGCAACGATGAAGCGTCCCTTTGTATCTACGACGTGTGGCGTAGACGCTCGACACGCACGGGCATACGCACACGATCGCATGCCCATCGGTAATCACGGTAACGTCAGACGCGCGCCAGGCCGGCCGTGTCGCCTGTCCGTTTCGAAGCTGCGCGAGACGCGGAACTTCTTTCAGTAATTCGTAACGTGATTGCGAGTGGGCACGGCGACGATCTGTACGCCGTATACAATCAGATAACGGACTCGACAGCAATGAGAGTGGATCGACCCCTTTCATGTAACCGCGGTTTTTCCGTGGGCCGTCGATCGTTTAGCGAATGAAATTCGAGGCGACGATATGAGGCCCAAAGAGAGAGAGAGAGAGAGAGGAGCCGAAAACGCAGAGAAGTAATACTCGACGTCTCTTCAAAAAATTGCGCGCGGACCGTGACGTTTCAACTGGCGATAAGAAGATAATGGCGTTCCGCATAACGCTTTCAAATTTATTCTCGCTTATAACACGCTTATGCATTAACAAAGTAGCAATCACTTGCAAATAATATCGCCGCATGCGTCGCGCGCCCTAAGGGACGCAGGGTTCCCCGGGCGACGCTTTATTTTGAAGCGGGAGTTCATAATAGCAGCGCGCAGAAACTCTCGCGTATATACGGGCAACGTTAATTAGCACTCTCCTAACAAATAGAGCAAAGGCTCATATTTCGCTCCCGCGCGCGCGCGCAATTCGCTATAATCAGAAAATTGGAAATCTATTTATCCTCGCGTTTGTTTTGCGTCGGGTCGCGCGCTCGTTTGCATAAAAGCACGTTTAATTGATCGCCAACCACTGCGGGGCGGAAGAAATAACGGCGACCGCATCACGGGGTCTCGTATCGCGCGTATCGATCTCTAGTGTGCAACGCGACCGAGCGTAACGCAGCGGGAGTCGGAAAGTCGGATCGTCGGTGACACCGGCGTGCCCCAGGACGCGCTTCCGCGACACGGAGCGGATGTTCTCACGAAGAGGTTTACGGAAAAATTGGCACCGCATTGCAAAACCCGCTGTCAATATCGAGAAAGGTGGCAGTCGATCCCGACGACGGTCGGCGAAAGGAATCGGACGATACGCGCGATCCCGGCCGACCCAGATGACTATCGCGTTTGTAGAAACGTCGGGGCAGTCGAAATTCTGCTATTTATGCGCGTTTCGCCAAGTTACTATTGGCTTCGATACCGTTAGACGGTTCTTTGTGGCGATGTAAGTCCTCAAAAGTGCACGCGCGCTATATCTTATTGCTATAAGTGGCACGAGTTCGAAAGTCCTTGTGCAACAGCCCGAAACGTGCGGACACGTTATCGATTTCGTTGATACGACGCGGCTAAACGTGGAGGCGTTCGCCGAGGCGTTCCCACGGGATACCGCGAAAAAGTTGGCTTATCGCGAGAACCTGTTCCCGCGGACGAGGAAAAAACGGGATGAGAGCCGCTCGCGGTTTCTAGGAACGGATTACGCCGCTGATTAAAAGCGGGTTGACTCCGCGCGCGAGCTGCGCTGCGTAACGCGTCGCGAGTTTACGATCTATATGTATAACTCCTTTCTTACTAGTTGCACGATAACGGATGCCTACGCGACAGTTTATAGTTCGTCAAGTCTCCTCGCTCCGTCTCAAGATTGCGGTCGTCTCGCGCGACTCTCGACTCGTAAAGGACTTTGCGTTGCGCGAGACGCAGGAATTTTGTGCCAAGTACGGTCGCACGAACGGTTATCCACGAGTTTTTGACATATTTTCGAGAGCGTAGATATATGCATACAGGATCTCCGGGGTCGTGCGAATCGGGGAAGAGCAGGGTCTTCACGTACGAAAGATGCAGTAGCGAGGTATGCCGGCCCTCGCGAGTTTTCGCATTTCCCGAAAGTCTAAACGACAAGGGAAATCCTTCGCCTTGGAAAATAAACGCGGTGCAAGCCGGCGAGTCGTCTTAAATAGAATACCCGTTGTCAAGGAAATTGCGAGTCGTCTTAAACGGAATACCCGTTGTCAAGGAAATTGCGTGGAAAATTCTATGGGTGGACAAATATTTATGAGTGTATACAGGGTACGCCGTGAGAGTGTATTCCCCCAATATTGTCGGGACAGAAATTGCTTCTCGCTAGAGGCGGCGGAGAAATTTACTCAGCCGCAGTCCTTCGGCTGTATCCTCGGGCCGGCGGTTAATACGAGGTAGGTCGACCGGAGGATGCGTGGACGATCAGGTGAGGGTCGTCGAAGAAAACTGGGCGACCGAGCGAGGCCGACATCGACTTCTCTCGCGGCAGGGACGGCGCGAGTCGGGTCACGAACACCAGGGAAAACAACGGGCGAGTGAGTGAGAGAGAGAGAGAGAGAGAAAGGGTGAGAGGGACAAAAAAAAGGAACAGTGGGCGCGGATGTAGGTGGTAGGACGGACGAGGAGCACGGGGGTGGAGGACACATGACGGTAGGGAAGGAGGGTGGAGGCTGGTGTGTGTATCCATCGCTTGGAGGGTGGAGAAGGACCTGCGCGCGAATTTCCCGCGTTCGCCCAACTCATATTGATCCCACCCCAGCGAACTCCCTCGTTCTAGCGGGAGGTGGGAGGCGCGGGGTGCAGGAAGGAGGCCTGGCAAGGGTGGTTCGTCGGCGTATAACGCCGGACCGAGCGTGCGAGCGAGCGAGTGATCGAGTGAGCGGGCGAGCGAACGGGAGACGGAGGGTGAGCCGCAGGAATCGCGGGCGCTCCGAGGGTGGTCCAGCGCGCGCGTCGGAGTCGTCGCGCTCGCCGATCGGGATTCGCGAGCGTGTCTTCACCGTCGCCGTCGCCGTCGTCGTCACTGTCGCGCGGCCGTCGTGTCGTCGTGTCGCGCTCTCGTCGCGTTATCCTTAGGAGGGAGTCAGCCCGCATCTCCGGTGTGTGCGGCCGTCGCGTCCGGGGCTCTCGTAACGTGTTGGCGCGCGCGCGTGTGGTGGAAAAGAAGTTTCGGGGAAGTTGCCGACGTGGAGAATTGGAGAAAGTCGTGCGGCAAAAGTGTGCGCGCGAGTGTGTGCGGGATCGGTCGACGACACCGTTGTTTCGGTCCGCTCGACGGGCCGGTTGTCCGCAGCGGCATCGCCGCTGCAGTTGTGTGGTTAACGAGACCTGCCCTTGCTATCCACGAAAGTTATTAGGTAGAAAAGAAGAATATCGCCGAGTAGATTTCATTTCGCAACGAGACTGACCCCTGACTTCGCTGCCTCGATTTACGATCGGCTAAGCGGGGATCGGCCATCGCCGACGGGAAAGTGCACGAAGCGCGAGTGCGAAAACTAGGCTTCTTCGTGCGCTCTTTTTTTTTCTTTCTCTCCCCATTGTCCGTTTTATTACTATTTCATGTCGAACACGGGGCTGACGGGAGAAAGTGCGTAACGCGCAAATCGGCTCGCCAGGTCGATTCCCGCGGCGAGTGAACCCGGTTTAGTTCGCTGGTGCGAATCGCGCGGCGAAGCTTGTCGAAAGTTATTATTTAATCTTGATTAAAATAATAAAAGGTAATAACGCGCGCGCGTTATGACCAAAATGTAATTAAAAATTAACAAGTTTGAGAATCGATCGCGCGTGTGCGTGTGTATGCAAACATGCTCTCTCTCTCTCTCTCTCTCTCTCTCTCTCTCGTAGGAATTCACATACAATATGCCACATCCACTTGGGTGACAGACCACGTTTGACTGATTAAATTGTCCAAGAGGCGTGTGCCGCTTTGTGCTCAAACGGCATGCGTCTCTTGAATGACCTAGTAGCTGCAAATTAGTTCTGGAACTATAGGTATTCATTATTGAGAAACGGCATTGTGTGCGGCAACGAGATCTGAACGACTCGCTAACAATCGACGCGCTGATTACGACGATTACGTCAAATTACTTTCGGTCAGCGAAAAATAACTATAACCTTCGTCCAGTATTGTTCAACGGGATTCAACCATTATCGTCGTTCTATCGTCGCGATCGCGTCTGCCACCGATATCCCGAATAGATTTCCAACTCGGAAACATTTTTTTCCCGGAAATGTATGCACGCGGTTCTACATGCATCGGCCCGATGCACGTGCAGATCGCGTGTGTGGGGGGGAGGAGGGGAGGGGGGCGGCTCGCGTGGTCGACAATCCGCGACGATCTACTAACGATTCGCGACGTCTATGGCGATCGCGTCGCAGCCGTGACCGACGGTTCGCGACACGCTCGGAACAACCTCCGCTGGCCTCGTTTGGCGGTCGGAAAGAAATCGATTCGAGCCCATTTTAATACGTCCAGTTGAAACATATCAATTCGCGGCGAGCGTGGCGCGGAGAAATGTGCGCTGCTTAGTAAATGAACGGAAAGATCCGAGTTCGAATCCAGCCGCGAACGCCGCTGGTTTTTTTTCTCGGACGCCACCTCTCGGAGGGAACCACCGAGAATATCCTGCCACACGTACCCCTTTAGGAGCATAGTCCTCCAGGCTGGAGGCTTCCTTCGGCAAGGTTAGCAGCCTACCGAAGCTGAAGTAAAACGAAATACTCAAAGTACCAGAACGAAGTGAATAGAACAGGCTTTAAGCCTAATACGCGAGGAAGAAAAAGAAGAAGATATTAATTTATTAAATTGTTTGCGCACTGATTTGACGTGGGAAATGTAAATTGTTTCGAAAGGCGAGAGAGGAGCGGAGAAAACTGCTTCGCATCCTGCGGGAAAGTTGGCACAGGCGCTGACACGGAGCAGAAAGTAAGACTCGGACGCGAAATAAACAGGGATTGCCGTCTGTTGGATTTAATGAGTCGTAATACGATATGATACTTCAAACAGCGCTCTTTGCTTTGCAAAATGTACTCCGTCGACCGCGTAAAGCCTCCCATCGTTGCGTTATAATCACCGTATTTACTGCCGCTAGTAAATTGTTCGTGCAAGATCCGCGTTTTTGTCGTCGTGGTCGGGGGCGAAAATTTACAAGGCACTAATACAAATCCTGCTTTAACAATTAAACCGATTAAGCGCGTATCGCGCGCTTAATTCCGCATTTAATTGCACGTGGATTACGGGGTCTTTAATTAAAATCGCCTCGGATACGCGTCTGTCGGTGTCGCGGCTTGAACTTTGCCATAATCAACAATATAATTGGTGATCATATTGTCAGGCTTGAAGACTTAATAAAATATTGAGAAGCGCGATCGGAATTCTATTTCCCGGCGATTCGATCGCTCTCGCTGTCAGCACCGTAAATAGATTAAATATCGAGGGAAATCTGTCTCCCGATTAATATAAATGTCTGAATAAAATGTAGCATTATACGTTCCGCAGTTTTCTGCGCGAGACAGACAGTCGATACATTCGAGTGGAATAACGACAGAAATGCACTCTGGTGAATTCTTGACGCGTACTGTAAATTTCTCGCCCATATTTTCTGGAATCGTCCCACTAATACCGAAACGAAATGGTACGTTCTCGCGGAATCGGCACGGAACACGTCTCGCCCGGCGAGACGTCGGAGTTTCACCCTCGACGAGATCGATCGATCACTCGCGTCGTCGTCGTCGTCGGCATCTCGCTCTCGCAACAACTTAATACCCGGAATCTCGCTCCACATGTAGGCCCGGGTTCGAGCCCGCTCGTAAATACACCCGAGGAGCGCATAAAAGTCCCGGAGACCCGGTCGTCACGCCCGCGACACAGGGAGGCGGCCAGGTGGCGAGCGCGAATGTAGGTATACGAATGCTCAAGTATGACTCAAGCGGATCCATTACGAGCAAGAAAGTGCGGTCTGTAAAAGCGCAGATGCAGAACCGTTTTATCTGTTTAGGCGCTACAGTCGCACTGTCGGAGATGTCCTGCGGACGCTTACGAAGATTTTTGCTACGCGAAAAGAGACGCGCGCCCTTTCGATTTTATCACGACTCCTCGAAAGACGAGAGTTCGGAAGCAGACAAACTTCCTGTGCGTGTACAAATCTCCGTAATTATAGAAAAAGGGATATGCAGCAGAGTCTTAAAACAATTTCTTTAATTGATGTCTCCGAAGAGACAATTAAAGCGTTAACCCTTGCCGTACTTAAAGTGAATCATCTGTGCCCACATTGTTGCGCTTGTACAAGGGTTTCGGATCGCTCGTAGTTGAGCTTCATAAGTTATTAAATATCCGTGAGAAAATATATATAGAGGAAGTAGCGAATACCAATGCGATTAAAATTTCCAACAACGGCCGCGCAGTGAAGTTGAATACTGTCTGTCACGCCTGAAAAAAAATGCTTTTAAAAAGTTGTGCTCGAATTCCATTTAACGGGAACGGCAATTGAGAGTATGAAGACAATTTCGCAACAATGTTTAGCGGGTACGAAACGTTTACAAATGTTTTCGTAACGCTGAAATTTCGGACAAATATAATTTCGCTTCTCGATTGGCTGACTTTATTGTCGTCCGTTTTGCCGTTCGGTGGATTTCAGCAGGGCCGAGAACGGGCCCGACCACGCAGCAGAGATGTAAAAGGGAGACTCGAGAACGGTCTGCGAACACAACGATCGAAAACATGCATGTCGGATACACCGTCGTGATAAATCATTAACCGGGCGTGTTTATTGGCCATGCTCGAGCAAATCCCGGCTGGTGGTTGATTTATTGTCCGGCACCGATGCCGATCGGCCGGCTATCGATCGGTCGTGACTCGCGAATCGGGCGCAACAGGCGGGCCCGGGCGCCCGATACGGAAGCTCAAAGGAACGGAATTAGGTGCGAGATCGGCGTAAGCGTGAATGGGTTTGTTTCGTGGGAAGGTGAAAGATCGGTAGAAAGGATCGGCGTGTACAACAGACGAGTATCACCCGCGTCGCGTTGTGGGGTCAAAGGCAAGAAATTAATTTTTTGTGTATTAATTACAATTGAAATAATATACGATGGTCGTTAAGACGGTAAAAGAACAATAAAGAGTCACGAAGAAAGAAAAATGATGGGCAATGTGAGCCGTCACCACTCTAGGAAGAAAAGACAGCAACCCATTTTGGGGCTCGCAATTGGTAATCGAGTTATTTGGATTGTTCGCAACTCTAATCTTTTACACGAATTTTACCCCGCGTAACTAAAAATCGCAATTGGCTATTCTATCTATATCCAAGATTTTTAAGTAATACTAACCAAATTATTCGATTACTAATTGTCGGCCCCAAAATGGGTTGCTGTCTTTTTTTTCCCCAGAACAAATATGCTTGCAAGCAATTTATACAAAAACTTACGTATTTAATTTATCATCTTCGATTTTTCTTTCTTTGCTCCTCTTTATTTTTCTTTCGCCATCTTAACGACCATCATATATTATTTTAATTTTAACTAGTTTTTTTATCGGAGCCTATTTATAACATATTAATTTTCATCTTTTTGCTTGTTCATATAAATACGTTCACTTGTTACCAAATACCACGTAATCCGGTACGAGTTAGGCGCCAGGGAAACGCCTCGTCTAGAGAATAGCAATCCGTCGTCAGAGAGGCGGCCTCTCTGCGCCGAGACCCTGACAGCTTAGGTGTAAAGGAAAAAGAGAGCGCGGAGGAAGAGACTGTTTGCCAGGAATATGCATTACGTGCGACGGCGACATCAATTTCTCACTCGGGCCCATTTCCCGATCGGAGCTCCACAGGTTTACGCGCGATGTAAATCAGGCCGACCCCGCCGCCCGCCGCCCGGTATTGAAGTTCTGTGTACAGCACGAAGTAAACTGCCACGGTCGCAGGCCATCTCCATTCTTCCTTGACATGTGTACGCGATAAAGTACGTGCGATAGTCGTCCCTACGCTGTCGACGTAGAATTACGTTCGGGCTGGGCACTTTGCGTCAAACGTTCCATATTCTTGTATTCGGATATACCGCGTTATCATTTCTCCTTTTATTTCCTGCGCGCTATAAGTAATGCGAATTTTAATTGGATTAGAGAAACAAGGTCCTCTTTAATCCCATCGTACATACGGACGGTCTCCGAGTACCTCGGTTCTCGGAATTCGTGAAAAATGCAGTCCGGGAATTTCCATCGAGCGACACTCGCGCGCAATTCGTCGGGCTTTTACGCCGGGATCTGCCATAATCCCTTCACGTGCCGCAAATGGGTGCAGTTTGTCTCCGCCGTTTCGTGACGTTCTATCGTTCCCCTCTTGCATACTATACTTGGCGAGCAGCGAGT